CCGTCCCTATCTCATTCGTTGGATGATAGAGACTCTGGGATAGGAATTAACTGCCCCCAAACAAACCTCGATCCAAATAGCATTCCTTCATCTAGTTCATACTCGCCCACAGATCAGCGCTTCTGGTCCGCCAACAACACGCAGTCATCAGCCGAGTCACTTAACTCTGGGATTTACGACAATGCGCCATTTGACGAGATATTCAATCCAGATACAGCAAGTTCTTTCAATGCGCCCTTTACGACCATGAGTAATTACAATTGGCTTTTTGATATGGACTGGACTAGGAACGATCAGGCCCAACAACCAATCATAGAAGACCCATTCCCTGCCCTACCCTTCGAGAACAATACGATCTCTCAATCGATTCAGGGTTTGGATTTTCAATTGGATCAGGTGGACATGGAAGGTCCACTATCGACGGTCGGCCAATTTGGCTCACTTCCGTCCCAGCCAAATGAGTCTCTTCACCACCAGCACCACCACTCACCAACTGCACAATTGATCACGCCGCCAATCGATGAGACGAACAAAACAGCTGGTTCGCCGTCTGATTATGAGCCCTCCGGATCAGCGACAGACACTAGTGCTTCCCTCGACATTGAGCGACCACTGTCTTTGCTGCAACCATCGCGAAGCCTACCGATCATTGATGAGCTAGCTCGTCAGCAGCTACTTGACCTCATCGACATCGTACAGCCTACTGTACCAGACGGTAGTATAGTCATGCGAGACCACCCGCTGCTCTCGTTATCATGCTTGCAGACATACTGCGACCTGTTCTTCACGCGTTTCAACACCACATATCCGTTGATACATATGTCTACTTTTGATCCATCAGAGGTCGACACACTTCTTCTTGTATCAGTCTTGCTGTTAGGCGCAACGTACGGAGAGAAAGACGCACACCAGCTTGCAGTAAGTGACCACGCAATATGGTTTTAAGCTCCGACTCACCCGAACTAGGTATGCATCCACGACGTGCTGCGTCCACAGATCTTTGCCAATGCCGGTTTTTCGGCGAAGCCTGATCTCTGGGTTCTTCAAACTATCCTATTGGTCGAGTGTTTTGGTAAAAGCAGAGCTGGACAAAAGCAACACGACATGTCGCATCTCTTCCACGGCTTACTCATCAACCTCATTCGGCGGAGCGATTGCCAAAGTATCCGGCCACCAACACCGGAAGAAGCCACAGATGATCTCGAAGATGACTGGCGGACATGGTGCGAAGCAGAGCAAAAGAAGAGGTACGTATTCATCAACTGAACCCTCAAGGTACCTAGCTCAAAGTGCGCAGGCTGGCGTTCCTATGCTTCATGTGGGATACGCAACACGCAGTGCTTTTTTGCCAGTCGCTCTGCATGTCCGCTTTTGAACTCCGTTCCAACATGCCATGCGATCAAGCCATTTGGGAGGCCGACTCAGCCGAAACATGGCATCAGTTGCGACAGAAGCAACCGACGACCCCATTGTTTCTATCGTGTCTGAAGATGTATCTTCACCCCGATGCTGCGACTATCCCCAAGAACCTGAACGCTTTGTCTCGGTCGTTGCTTCTACATGGCCTAATGTCTGTAGCATGGGATATGCAACGGCGCGACCAGACATCGCTGGGCGTCATTGAGTCAAACCCACTCGGCAATTGGCAAGCTCGTCTCGCGGCCTCATATTCCGCGTGGCACGCAGACTACACTGCTTTCTGCGCCGCATATATTTCGTCGCTTCCACCATCCACACCCTTCCTCGCTAGAGAGTTCCACGTCTGCCGCACCGCCACACTAGCGCTTTACCACTCCGCGCACATACTGCTTCACACGCCCTTCCTGGACCTCCAAATCTACGCCGGATCGCGACATATTCTCGGCCGCCCAGTCGCGCGCCATGACTACGCACGCTCTCAGCGTGTAGTAAAAAAATGGGTAGCGGAGAACACAGAAGAAGCCGGGAAAGCAGTCTGGCACGCCGCCGCTCTCGTCAGCGAAGGCGTAGAAGTTCTTGACGGCGACCTGAGCTGTTCAGACATTAGTGGAGGGAGACTTTGGCATCACCCTTGGGCCGTGTACCTTGGTACGTTGGTGGTATGGGGTGTATGGTATGCTCGGCCAACTCCACCACCGCCTTCTGGAGGTCAATTACCGCATCATCTTCAGCATCTAGACGATGAGGATGAGATCATCTGGGATCCTGCTGCGGAAATGAAGACGTTGCTTGGCGCCATTCTTGTAGCTCAGCCTGAGAAGCTGCTTGAAACCGGCAGTGAAGGCGTTTTCGCTGGCGGTCTGGGGAAGAGGGGGACGAATGGGCTTGCAGCTGTAGTGAGCAAGTGTTTGAGTAAGGTGCGGTGGGCTGTCGTTCATGATGGCATGATGGTTCTTAGAGGGCTTGTACAGTGGCGTTTAGTTGGCGGTAGTGGTGGCCTATGAAATGCCAATAACTAGAGATTCCATCGCGACATCTATCTCTTCGGCACCTAGTCGCTTCCTTCTCCCCGTGTAATTCCAAGCCATCTATGGCGATGACCAAGAGTCCTTACAGGCTTCTTATATGGCCACTGTGCGTTCACCTTTGCTGATCTGGCCGGGCTATCATCGTTGGCGGTCGAGGATCGGGGACTAGGAGTCGAAATACCTGAACCAGTGGTGGACGTGCGCATGTTTTCTGCGTCTTTAGTGACCTCGGCAGTCGTTTCAATTTTCGGTCTATCGTGCGTGGTTGCGTATTCTTCGTAGAGTGTTTTCACCAGACTAGCAGCCCAAGACGAGTCGCCTAACCCCAAGCGATATCGAATGGACGAACCGAGCGCAAAGTCCTTTAGCTCGCTAGCCAAGTTCAGCTCAAACTGAACGTACTCTGCTCTGGTGGCGGCCTTTGACTCCTGTTGTATGCGCTCGATACGTGATTTCTCTGCCCGATACCGCTTCGTGTGGGTTGATGTACAGGAGTGATACAATCGAGTTTTCGCAATCTTGAGCTGCTTGTTTGCGGCCGAATATCTCTGGGAGGCCAACTGCCTCGGGCCAGCGCACTCATCTAAATACCTCTTGCCATATACTGTTAGCAGATCTCTGTACTTTTGCGTCAGAATGACGAGGGAGCTATCTTCAACAAGCCAAGCAATGCTCTGAGCATCAGCAAGCAACTCCTCAAGACGGTCCAGATTCACCTCCGTGAACTCGTGTGCATACGCATTGCGGATGAAGCGAAGAGATTCAAGCCTTCTCTGGATGATCTTATAGAGGTGGCGCCAATGTTCGTCCTCTCTTAGGAGTTTTTCAAAGTCCCAGATAGATAAACCTTCGGGGTCATTCAGGTTCTTCTCTTGCATTACATCGGGAAAATAACGTCGGCCAAATACGAATATGGCTCGTTTGAACCGTTCATGAACATCACCCAGAATGTGGTGTTGGACTTGGTACGGCACCATGACCATGACGGGTTTCGAAGCTCCACGGGCAGAAGTGGACCCCGGACTAGAGCCCAACTGCTGACCTATCGTGTCTGTCTCTGGCTCGATTGACAACACAGACGTGTTTTCTGCACGGAGTCTCTCAAGATAGTCGCCGGAAAAGAGCAGCTTAAGGCTAGTAACCTTGCTTTGCTTTTCAAGGACATGTTTTGACATCCCATCAAGCTTTGTGGTTGGCTTCAGGTCCTCCAGTGTTTCATTATAGAATGAACTCTGAGCTGCGCGCCAACGCTCCATCTGTTGAATCTCCTGTCGTAGAGTAGAGTGAGAGGCTCTTGTGAACGGATTAAAGGGCCGCCTCAACGTCGCAGTATCGATGGATGCATGCCCGAGTATTCGAAGCTGTCGGTACGATTGGTCGATGTCGTGCAGGAGTGCAGTAATCGTGCGTTTCTGAAGGCTCTTTGCTGAGCCCCTAGTTTCGTATTCTCGTGCCTTCGCCAACAGTATCGCGGTCGATTCACGAAAGAGCCTCGTTTGCTCATCCGGCGGTAGCCTTGGGGCAACGCGCCTGAACCAACCTTTTGCCATGTACTCATCATTGGCAAGCGACCTCTCAACGAATTGCGTGAAAGATTTTCGGGGCTCCGCCTTCTCCCCCTCTAGATTCGTGCCGGGACTCTCGTCACTTGCTTTGATCTGCTTCTCATATTCAACGATATGATCTTTGTGCTTACCCAAGAGCCGGAGTCGGCGTCTTAGGCGATCCCGTGGTGCCTTTTGTCCTGGCACTGTGCGCTTGTACAATGATCTCGTCAGTATGATATGAGGCCGCAAAATCTCCAACAATGCAAGAGCCGCTGCTCTCTTATCAGAGGGTGTAGGTAAGAGTTTAACGTAATGCATCCATGGCATCGCGGTCGGGAAGCTTTTGTCGTCATCGATCGCAGCGCTAAGCGAATGAATAGCAGCTTCATGCCGTGACTTGGCCTCTGATGTCACTTCGTGTACAACATCTGCATCGTGCTTCGTACTTGTATCCAGGGCTGTCCCATCGCCCATTGATGGGTCCTGTTGCTGGGTGGCACGCGTCTCTTCCTCATCATCTCGCTTCTGCAACCCTTGCGACGACCACCGTGACGACGAGAACTGTATGCCTGCTGGCCTGCGCGAGACTAGAACCTTGCTGTTCCAGCTTTGTCCCAGCGATGACGTTGCTGTATTTCGTGAAGCAAGCCATGCTCGGCAACTTGCGTGTGAACCGAGTGCAAGACTGCGCCAGAGAGTGTCAAAGTGCATCAATGATAAGGAATGTGCGATGAATCATCGAAATGGACGCGTGAAGGGTATGGCAACGCGACGACAATTGGGGCTGCTATCTCGAAGGAAAATGTGGATCGAAGAAGGCCGTGCGTGCTAGTGACTGCGCTTACCGTATCGGGCGGTGTCAACGCCATTGCTTGAGGGCGGGAACAGCGGAACGCAAAGCAATCCAACCGGTGACTCTTGCAAAGAAGTGAGGTTGCATTCGAGTATGCATTCCATCTGCGCAACCTCTCGAAGTCACCCAGAAAGATAAACGATGCAGCTCTGCCTAAGTGAAGTATCGCCACATCTCGCTCTCTTCCCCGTCGCCCAATTCGCTAGTTCTAACATCATCCGCCCTCAGTCTAACACCTTGCACCTTATCTCTCCGTCGATTCTCCAGCTTCATCCACCCTCCCAGCCACAGTGTGAAGCAGATACACGTAACATTACAAGCCGCAGTTGCATAAAGCGTCGGCAGATACTTTGGCGCGTACTCCTGTCTAAAGGTCGCAGCGGAGACGATGCCTCCAAGATTGCCGAGTCCGACCATGAGGCCCGTCGTAGCAGCGCGAGCGTTCTCATTGAGATTGTTGTTGTTGTGCCAAGAGTGTACGAGACAGGAAGGTACGTACGCGCCTGCACATAACAAAAAGCAAGCGAAATATGCGACGGCTTTGTTGTTGAGAACGTCGATGGTCGCGAGAACGATGAGTCCGGCGAGAGAAATGCAAAGAGCGCCGCAGATGTGGAACGTGCGTTCGCGGAAGAAGTCGCTGCTGTACGTTATGCAGAGCAAGACGACGAAGCCCACCGCGTTTGGCGCTACGGTCCAGAGATTGGTCTTGATGACGGAGAATCCGAGGCGTTGGACGATCTGAGGCAGAAAGTTCGAGGTCGTGCTGAAAGCTACAGGGTAGGTGAAGGCGATGATGCACCAAGGAAGCATCTTCCACGTGTTCCACTCCTTGAAACACTCTCGCATGTTAAACTCGTGGGAGCCGGATGAGGATAGATCGCGCAGTGTGCGACGCTCGGCTACGTTGCGTTCAGCCTCGTCCAAGAACCACGCCGATTGAGGAGTCGCTGGCAACCAGGCATACGCTATCAAAGCGAGGACCACAGTAAGAGCGCCCTCTATGATGAAGAGAAACTTCCAGCCGGGAATGTTGGTATGCTCGATCTGAAAGACGCCGAAGGAGATGAGGCCGCTGAAAGCACCGGCAAGAAGTGCACTGCCAAAGAATAGTGCGATGCGGAAGCCGAGTTCGCCGCGCGTGTAGAAGAGCGTGAGGTAGAAGACGACGCCAGCGAAGAACCCGGCCTCGAAGGCACCGAGAAGGAGACGAATGACGAGCATGCCTGCGAAGTTGTGTGCTGCGCATTGGAAGAGAGCCATTGCGCCCCACCCTACCATCACTGTGGTTTATCGTCAGCTCATGTTGCGGGATCTGAGAACACGGACTTACAAGTCGGAAGCATAACTCTGCCACTCCATTTCTTCGTCAACATGTTGAGTGGAAGATCGCAAAGTCCGTTCGGGATGTAGAATAGCAAGATCAACAAGCTATACTGTTCGCCGGTAAAGCCAAGGTCCTTGTCCATTCCATCCGTCTTCGCATTGCCCAGATTCGATCGGTCAACGCTTGTGTCGGGTCAGTCTGCCATGAAGGTGAGAGTATGAAGGAGACGAGCTCACCTGTTGAAGAAGTACATCAGCGAGAGGAATGGCAACAGATAGAAGTCGAGCTTTCGGACTGCATGGTCTATCAATATGTGGTCATTGTTTGGTAATGACAAGTCAGAACATACCATAGGCGCTCTCGATATTCTTTTCGAAAGTGTCAATGACTATGCCAGCTTCTTCTTTCGATGTGCTCGAACCGGATAGCCTTCGGGGCTTCTCTTCAATCATGGTGATGTCTTTCTGTTGCTCGACTGGCATGGCAAGGTGCGCACCGAAGCAAGGGTAGACCTGAGAGGGTCGAAAATACTAGAGAAGATGCTAGCTAGCTATTATAACGGTATTTGCTCAGTAAAGCGCGATGGCTTTAAGTAGTATCCTGTCATGTAGTGTCTCAGCTGTTACTTATGCATATACAACGTCACTGAGCCTCCCATCTTTGAACCCAGTGCACATGCGTCTGTCTTGCCTATCGCCACCGAACAGATCAGCAGCGTAGCGCATAAACGGTGTGAACCGAGCGTGCAGCACATTGGGGCCCGAAGGATCGCGCTGCAAGCGAACTTGATTGATAAAGCGGAAGTCTGAAAGAGGAAATGTTGATAAGAGTGGGGGAGAGACACATGCAGAAGACTGACTAGGTGCAGCGGACATATGCTGGAGATAGGCGTAGGTCTGGCTAATGCCAAGCCCGCAAGAGAAGGGCTTGCCAAAGTTGTATACGGATTTCCTTGGACGGGAGCTTTGTAACCATAGCCATGATTGCGATACACTAAAGCCAAGACTTACATTCGACACGTGATTTGTTACCATGATGGTAGGAAACAGCGGTAATCATAGTCATGAATCTATCTCTGCCAGGTTGATACCGTGAATATCCCCCAAACTCCGAAGCCATGCACCTCAATCTCGAAATTGTCGAGATGACCCAAAATGTCTGCTTCTACGTATCTCGCAGGAACTGCTCGTAGTATTCGTCCATCCATTGTACAGCAGCCATCCCGTTCTCCCTGGTGCCGTCGGCGAATCTCCGCACTGTTCCGACATAGCCATCTGGACGTACGTTGACAACAACGACTTCCTGCTCGTCAAGACCGTCCAGCCACTTGTCCATGCATGTCTGCTTCCGAGTGTCCTTGTCTGGAACATCGTCAAGGTATAATGTGAAGGCGGACTCGCGAAGTACGGCTGGTAGGTCTCGGATTTCGAAGTTGTTGCGATCCTCGTCAGTCACTAGAGCATACGTGAAGACACCACTGACGGGAGTGTATCGCTCGGGCAAGACAAACTGGTCGTGGGGTGCTGCGAGAGGTGGCTGCATGGTGTATGAGGCGTTGCCGGCAGCTGTTACGCGGCCGACATACGAGTTGTTTCCAATATGCGAGTGGCACACATTTTCCAAGAACGACATGGATGCATGGACATTGTGGGTGAAGAAGTAGATGCGGAATTGACCGAGGGCGGGTATGTCGGTTTGGATGTCGACCGGATTGGCATCGATATAGCGTGTGACCTTGGCAGGTGGCAGCAAGTAGCCCGGCTTCAGATGCCCTTTATTGTAACCCTTCGCTTGCACGTTGAGAGTATTGAGGTCGTAGCTGACACCGTAGCCAGAGATGAACGCGACGTTCTTCGCGAAGTTCGCCGCAAGTGCTACCGGGTCTCCGTCGTGGAAAGCATTGGCGTGCTCGTAGTCGAAGTCGATCAGGTCTTTGGCAATTTTCTGTCGTTCCTGCTCGTACGTTTCGAGAAGAGCAGGCTTCGCAAGGCCGCGCGTCGCGAAGTTGAGTTTCCAGGCCAAGTTCCACGCATCCTACAGAGGTAGAAAAGTCAGTGCATGTTTTGCGTTCATTTCGTCCAGTAGGCACTTACATGCATCCCTGTGTTCATGCCCTGCGCCGCCTTGGGAGAATGAGTGTGACTAGCATCGCCAGCAATAAACACTCGTTGCTCGTGGTCAGTGAAACGCGCTGCGACACGCTGTCCGATCTTGTAGCGTCCAAACCACTCAACAGTCTTCCACTCGAGTCGATATGGGCGTAGTATAGCCCGCGCTCGCTTTTGAACAAACTCTTGTGTAGTCTGCTGGGCTCCCACTGCCTCCGTCGAATCCGGCCGCAGTTCAATGTATAGACGGGTCAGACCTCTCTCGCGAGGGATCATCAAGACAGAGCCTAGAGCGTCTGACTGTATGACCACCTTGCTCCAGATATCAGGAAAGTCGGTTTCGAGGACACCATCGAGCACGCCCCAGACGGCATCGGTTGATGAGCCTACAGGTGTGGCTCCCGGTATGCAATGGCGCACTTTTGAGTGAGCTCCGTCGCAGCCGACTACGTACCGTGTGGCGAAGGTCTTCTTGGTGTGACTGACGTCTTGCTGACAGTTGACCGTCAGTGGACGGATGGACATGGGTGTGTAGTCAAAGTCGACGAAAGCCGTGTTCCTGGAAACGACGACGCCCCTTTCCCGTAGGTCGTCTTCCAAGACGCCTTCGACCATGCCCTGGTGTACCAGCAAGATGTATGGATCGAGTAAGTCGACTACCGGCGGGTAGTGAATCTCACGACCGGTGCGGTGAAGCGACTTGTCGGCGGTTGACTTCCAGAAAGCAATGTCATAGATCTTGACACCCTTTCGCAGTAACGGCTCGGCAAGGCGCATCTGTCGCAAAGTCTCGATCGTCTTTGGTTGGATTCCGTCGGCGCGTCCGGTCGAGGTGCGGTCGGGTCGGTCGTCGATGATGCGCGTCTTGATACCATATCGTACCAGGTTGTCGCTGTCACTGTTAGATGGTGTTTGCTTAACTGGCCTGCATTACCTACGCAAGCATCAGACCGGCCGGTCCTGCACCAACGACCATGACATCGCTCATGAAGTTTGAGTAGTCATCGTCTCTGGTATACGAGATCTGCGACGCAACCTCCAAGCTGTTGCCCGACGAACGAGACTCGGAGTCTGGCACCGTAATGCCAGGAGCCATCTTCTGTCTAACCGAAGACGGCGGGCTGTTGGATGTTGAGCGCTTCATTAGATTCCATAATGAAGGAGCCATGCTATAAGGCCTATGGGCTGCGCTGATGACCGGCCACTAGGGGCAAAGATGGGGGTCCGGGTATACGTGTGGAGGATGGAGGGGCATCGTTTGACTCTCTGGCAAATATCTGCCCATTTTGATGCCATTGAAGAGTGCCATGACGTCTGCAAGAGTGCGTCAACATGCCGCTGAGCGCGAAAATGTTTGCTGCGATGGGGTGATGCGAGGCAAGGGGGAGTAGCAGACACATGCACTCCGCCGTGGACGCGTTCAGTCCGGCGGGTGGGAGCGCGCGCCCGTCCACCTCGGCATCCCTGCATCATCTCCCCCACCTGCGCCCCAAACGCCAGCAACACTACGCGCCTGCGAGGGAGATCAAAAGCCGATGGATCTGGAATTGCCGTTATCTATACCATGCTGACGTTGTGCGATGCGTCTGATATGCGGGCATCGTTCATGGATTCATGAGTGACTTCAACGCCTCTCCAGGGTTCCCTCCCAGCCGTTCAACTACGCCCAACATGACGACATCTGAGTTACCGCAGTGGCTTCAGACTGCTACTGAGAAGCGCAAGCTCCGGAACGACGCTATTCAGAAATTCATTGATGCACAAGCACCGCTGGCCGAGGTACTTTACGCTCGAACGCGCCGAAGACACACATTGACGACGCCAGCAGCCCAATGGAACCGGGGAATCCCATAGTAATCAAGATGTGACAGCCATCGACGATGGCCGACTCATTCCAGAAGCCATAATGTCGCGTGCTGTGACGGCATCGCTGCTGCTCAATGCCTACATCAACCGGTGAGGTCCGCGGCTTGCTCTTGTATCGTACCATTCTCACGCCACATCTTCCAGCGCCATAGACGCCCACAAACAAGTACGACCCCACAATGGTGTCTCAAGTTGTGAACGCGGAAATTTGCTGACATATATCCAAGACGAACTGGCACGTGTCTAACCCATGATCCTGCCTAAAAATACTTGCTGATCTACGTAGCCTTACCGAGATCCTTTTTGACGATGCGATCAGACAAGCCAAAGCGTTGGATGATCAGTTCGAAAAGACTGGTCAACTGGTAGGGCCCCTTCATGGGGTGCCCATGACTCTCAAGGATCAGTTCGATGTCAAAGGCTACGATAGTACGCTTGGGTATGTTGGGCGCGCCTTCAAACCTGCCCGGCAGGACTGTGTGTTGGTGTCGCTGTTGAAGGAGATGGGCGCGATTATTTTTGCCAAGTCCAACCTCCCACAGAGCATCATGGTACGTCTTGCGATGAGCTTTTGCGCATGGTAGCATGACACTCAAATCTCTTAGTGGTGCGAAACCGACAATCCGCTATGGGGCCTCACTACTCACCCGAAGAACGCCGACTTCACCCCTGGTGGCTCGACCGGTGGAGAGTCCACACTTCTCTCACTCCAAGGCACTGTGGTCGGCTGGGGTACTGATATTGGCGGCAGCGTGCGAATACCTTCACATATGAACGGGTTGTACGCACTAAAGCCTAGTAGCACTCGCCTTCCATACCAGGGCGTATCCGTATCAACCGATGGTCAAGAACACGTTCCCTCGGTCATTGGGCCGATGACACGCAATATGGGTTCGCTTACTGCAGTCACAAGAGCAGTCATTGACGCAAAACCATGGGAACAAGACCCAAAGTGCTGTCCGGTACCATGGCGATCTGAAGCTTTCGAAGATGCGCGTACACGACCGCTAGTAGTTGCTATCATGCGTGACGATGGAGTTGTGAGATGCCATCCGCCCATCGCCCGCGTTCTAGATGAAGTCGCCGTAAAGCTTCAGAAGGCCGGACATGAGGTTATATCGTGGACTCCGGGCACCCTCCACCAAGACTGTATTGATATCATGGTAAGTGTGTGAGATCAATGTATTCATTTTGAGCTAACCAGGATCAGGATCAATACTATACAGCAGACGGTGGTGAAGACATCAGGCGAGATGTTGCTGCTGGTGGAGAGCCATTCATTCCGCACGTAGAAGCTCTCGTCAACAGGGGAAAGGCCATCTCCGTCTACGACTATTGGCAGCTGAACAAGAAGAAGCTTGAGCTACAGAAGCGCTACCTCGACCTCTGGAATTCGACAAAGTCTGACAGATCTGGCAAACCGATTGATATTCTTCTCACACCTGTCATGCCTCATTCGGCGGTACCTCATCGGAAATGCAGATGGGTTGGATACACCAAAGTCTTCA